CAGCGACCAGATAGCAGTGACCACCCAGCGACTATCCAACAAGCACCCAGCTATCGGCGACCACCCAGCGCCCATCCAACGACCACCTAGCAACTGGCGACCACCCCATGACCACCCAGCTGTGCTTTCATAAATATAAAAAACAGGCAATTCCTCCCCAGATATTTTCGTGTTTGAGCGTATAACTCCATATAAATATGTGTGTCATTACTAAATTATGTACGTATTATGTATATCATTACGTATATGATGATGATTATGTATATCATTATACCGTATGTTATGTACTTAAATTATTTATGTAATGTATGTTATGCATATGTAGTTATGTACACTGTAGTTATACTGTTATGGATATTAAATTGGTTGAATTTGGATTAGTTATGGTACTATTTTGATTTTTTAACATTTTAACTCTTTAATTGGTGGTTAAGTCATACATGTATATTGTTTATAGGTTATTTTTATACTTGTTAGATTTAGTGTTTCTTGTCGTGCACCATTTTTGCGCCATCGCCATGGTTACGGGAAACTACCCCGCGCCAGGATGGCCACCGTGTGCCATGACAACTTTGATTGGGGGCATAATGTTCTTTATATTGGGGGCACATGTATAACCATGATTTAATTCATTATAATTAGAAGTAATAACTGATGTGCACCAAGTTTATTGGGGGCACCAGGCACTTGACCCATCCAACCAACATATGAATGATCCACCCATGGCCTACAGATACTTCTTTTGAAATTGCGAAAGGGAAGACCTCAATATAACATCCAATGGCACTTCAATAACAAAATTGCATTTCAGTTAGAATGCAAGGAATTGCCGAACAAGGTTAGTGAAGGCCGCTGTTTTTTGCTTCTTGCTTTTGAAAGATTTTGATGTAAAAAAATACACATCTCATGTCTACACATTTATTATTATTATTATTATTATTATTATTATTTTAAATAAGACTTTAATACAATAACTCATTCTATGGTGAAATAGTAAATATGAGATTAGTATTTTAATTCAAGCACCGAACACAGATGGAAAGAAGTTACTTGAAGGCCCTCCTATGTTGACCACCAACATGGGTTTTGGTAAAGGTGAAAACTTGTCGTGCCATGAATTAGCTGCAGCCCGAAGAGCAGCAGAATCAACTTGATGAAGGGCACCAACTGTAAGGATCTTTGTATACACATCATAATAAGCTCATATTATAGTTTAAATAAATTCATTTACAACTTTAGTACAAGAAAAATGCCAATGGTATGTGTACATACCACATGCTTGTCAGGGGGACCATTCGAAGTTATCCACCACCGAAGGAATCGAGGGGCTTGCTCATTTGCTTTATAATAGTCATGTTTGGGGGTAATAACCAGGTCAAACCTATCCAAGTGGGACCTTGGGTGTTGGATCTGGAATGTGAATATGGCAAGTAAAAATACTGTCAGATTCATTAAGCAACAAATGATTTCTCTTTTCAATAAGAAAAGGTAGAGAGGAGGGAAATGATTCTAAATGTTTGAAGAAGGAGTATCATAAGAGAGTTAGACAATGATCACGGCTCTGCTAACAAACCTGTACAACAAACACACTTTCAGATGCCAATCGTTTAATGGAGCTCGCAATTGAAATTGTATCTCTACCAGATGCAACCACTAGTAAAGGCCCATCCCTGAAAATAACCATCAGAGTTAGATAAATTGTTAACCAAAAGCATGCTAGTTACAGTTTTGTACGTTTCTATGTATTTGTTCCAGCGTGTAATTTTGGACAAGAAAAAAATCTTAGATTTTAGTCTAATGAAAATAATTATGGAAATGGCAATGAGATAAGTATTTTAGCAGTAGTATTAATCTATAAAATCATCATCGTCGTCGTCGTCGTCATTACCCCAGTGCCGCAAGGGCTCCCACCTACGGTGAGGTAAGGGGGTCGGATGTGCGTAGCCTTAACCTGTACGAAAGTATAGAGAGACTGTTTATGGATGACCCATAGTGAAAATTGCATCAAAAATTGCATGGACTGATTGTTGCTTCATAACAAAGAAGCGTAGACAGTTTAGTGAGTCATCTTGCTTTATTCCATCATATTCCCAAGCCAAAAAATAATGAATCTTTGGCTCCATTAATCAATAAAATATACCTATTAAATTGAGAAGCAGTAGTGTCGATATAGATGAAATTGCAAGAAGTTGAATGGCGCAACAAACTCTTGAATAAACCAAAAAACAGCCGGCAGAAACTTACTTTTCAAATGATTCCTTGGCGAAATTCACAATATTCTTCACATCAGCTTCAAGAACTAATGACAGGCCAACAGTTCCATTTTCCTTGGGCAGAGAAACTAACTTATTATCTCTAACTCCCAATAGAAGGTGTGAATAACCACAAATTAGGTTCAAGATGTAATATATCCTTTTATGTATGAACATTGGGAGCCAATGTAGCCATTCATTAATTCCTCCACTTGGCCTTGTGACGCGCTGCATTTTATTGGCAAAAATTGACAGTGTAAAGCTGATGAAATGTGTAAAACTCTAATGAAATGAAAAAATCATAATTATCAAAATCAATTTGGTTGCGTGACATTCATTAATAGGAATGTAAATACAAAGATTTGCTGCTCGGGTAATAATTTTTCCCATGACTTTTTTTCTTGGCACAATCATGATATGTATTTTCACACTTGAACTCTGTCATTTAACTTTTTAACAATCATACTTCCAAAGTGTGCACAAAGCCACAAACTTTTCAACTAAGGGGACAAAAGAACTGCTTGAATACAATATGCTCCACTCGGTAAGAAGAAAACAGTAGCTCAGTCAGGGCGGAGTCAGCGGCGGACACAGGAAGTTTTGATTGGCAGGGCGACAGTGTAAAAAAATACATATAAATACATATATATTAAAATTTCGGGGTAACTATACCTAGAAAATATATTTTTTGGCGGGGCGGCGGCCCCTATTTGCCCCTGCCTGTGTCTGCCGCTGAACTCAGTACAGAATGAAGAGTCTAACTACAATTCCAAACCTTCATGGGTTTAGTATTTCACTATGTGTCTATGTCCCATTACTAGGCGTGCTTATAAGATATAATTATCCATACAACACTGGAAGAATAGCAAATCCCATGAGAAATAACATGTACTCCATGTGTCACGCTAAGATTGTCTCATCTTTTCTTTTCGACCCGTCCCACTAAGATTGCCTCATACCAAATTTGGTTAAGTTTGTGTGCTTCTAAATCATTTTATTATATTCTTACTTTATCAATTTAATATCTACCACACAAACCCACTTTTCTTAATAATTGCACCACATCCTCATGTCCCAGTGTTAGTGGGCCAGAGGTAGTATGTTTTTATTTGTTATTTTTCATTTCTACTCTTCCTGATCCTTGGGATCAAGACTTGAATGTTGTTGACTCTTCCCGATCCACTCAAAGATAGTTAAGGAGCTTGCAAGGAAAGAAGAAAGTATATCCCATACAATCCTTTGCCAGCAAAATGACAAAATCATCATCAACTTTCAAGATAAACTCTACCACAAGATGACTATAGTACGTTTACATGGTGCTTTACATTTTAACACAAATGACCTATGGGTTTTAATATGCCAGGTAATCAACCAACTGCCACTCAAGTGGTCGTACCAGCAAAACCATCATCCACTTTCAAGATGAAATTTTTGAACAGGTGAATTTAGTACATTTTTACAGAGCTTTGCATTTAAACACAAATGACCTATGGATTTTAATATACTACGTAATCCACCAACTATCATTCAAGTGGTCTTACCAGCAAAATCATTATCCACTTTCAAGATGAACTCTACCAACTGAAGACTTTAGTACATTTTTACAGTGCTTTGCATTTTAACGCAAATGGCCTATGGCCTATGGGTTTTAATATACTACAGATCAACCGAATACCCTTCAAGTGGCTGAACCAGCAAAATCTTCATCCACTTTCAAGGTAAACTTTACAAACAGATGACTTAAGTACATTTTTTATGGTGCTTTTCGGTTTGACACAAATGAGCTGTGGATTTTAACACAAGTGGCCTCATGGCATTCATGAAAATTGTATAAAAGTCTGGACAACTCCCAACCAGCCAAGTATTGTAGCTCCTGCATGACTGCATCCCTTAATACACATTAAACTCCCCCACCCAACCCCATTCCCAAAAAAAACTCTAAATATCCAACCCCGCAATTAAAACCCCTACTTTCCAAAACGTTTCTTTTGCTTAAGAATAAAGCTACTGAGCTAAGATATTTTGATTTCTCAAAAGCTCCAAATCACAAATTAAGGGAACTCACGTATAGCGTGTGCTTCTCGAAGAGGCCGAGGGCGCGGACCAAGCCAATGCTCTGATTCTCTGAGGCCGGAAAGCCGTTGCCGATTATCACTGCCCTTCTGATCACACCGTACACCCCAGCTTCGAAGATATCCGGCATGCCTCCCATCGCCCGTGGACTTTGTGGCGGTTCCGGAAGTCGTATCGGCTTCATTTATGTAGCTGTATTGCTTCAAACCTTCAGGAGAACAAGACCGAAAGTAGTTCTGGAAAACGAATCACGGATTTAACCGACCAGACGGATGTCAGGAATTTAACTCACAAACATTAATAATTAGGGGGTGTATTGTATCCGGATTCAGTGGTAGAATTTTAGAAGTCCCTGGAATTCAAAAGTTTAGGCGTATTGAATATGGACTTTTAAAAGTCCATAAAAATCTGGTGGTATTCAATTAGGATTTTAAAAAGTCAATAACAAATCCATCAAAGTTTAGGTGTATTGGATAGAGACTTTTAAAAATGAATTGAAGTCCGGGTGTATTGAAAAACATTATGAAGCCCATGGACTTGAGTAATCCTTCATTTTGGTTGATTTTACAACCCTTCATATAAATAGTCTTTCTCAATTATTTTCTCATCTCCCACCACAAGATTTGACCGATACTTTCCGCCTCGCCGTTGTCTTCCTTCTCGACACAACCCAGAGCACCGCAAGTTGCCCTTCTTCCAGGTTTTCGTTCTTCCAGTTTTCTCTTGCTTACTCTTCCACGTTTCAGGCGCCATCTTTATCATTCTTCTAGTATTTCACAAATTGATTTATGTGTTCATGATTCCCTGTTTACTGTTCCTCTCCTCTGTATGTGAGATTGTTAATATATATATATATATATATATATATATATATATATAGATTTAGGTTCATGTGAGAACTTAATCTTAGGAGAGTAAAAAAGAATAAATAAGGACCATTAGATCATGTTTTAATTCTTCCGTGTGATTGCTCTTCTAGGAGGTTAATGATGTCATTTCTTTCCCCCAATTCTATGTGTACGGCGATTCCTAAAACGGTTAAACCACATCCACCGAAAAAATATCAACTTTCCTTGGATGTCTTATTCAATCATTTAATTCCATTCTTGTCTCTTTCTTCTTCTTTTCGTTTTTTATATTTTTCGTACATATCTATGTCTTCATCAAGCATTTCACATCACCATGTGCCATGGATTATCACTACAATATTTTTAGAATATTATATTCAAAGTAATTTATTGTAGGCATTCAGAATTGTTTTCCAAAAAATATTACTAATTAAAAATGTGAACATAAATGTGTATATACTTGTAACAATATTGATTATTTAAATTTATCTATATTGCATTGTTAATGAAGCCCTTGACCCCATTAGTGCACCAGCACGACCACTTTCATGCACTTTTGACCCCTATTTTATCAAAATATATTGTTAAACTTTGATGCACTTATCATACTTTATTCACGCACTTTGGGATATATTTAAATGCACATGATAAATGTGCATTTCATTTTGTGAGAAAGTGCTAACGTAAAATTTTAGAAAATGTGATGTAATAATGCACTTGTATTTATATTAAAATGCACATGATAATTGTTAGTTTACACCCGTGCATATTTATTTGCATCTTTATTTAAAAATATATGAAAGTGAACGACTACAAAGAAAGAAGTGCAGATCATAAAATGTGCAGGCTAATGATACATGAGTGTGCAGGTTAATGTTATAAGAATAATATTTCTCTTTAGATTCATTTATTAGTCGGAGGATTTAATCTGAATATATATGATATCTAAAGAATACGTAAATAAGTATTACACAGTGTCCAAGCAAGATTGATGCTTTGACAAAAAACAAAGTTAAAGTTATAATATACTACATATTATTCATTTTGGAAAACGAAATAAACATTCAACTTTGATTGTGCAGAGTTTTGAATAAAAGTGCAATTATTCAATATTGGAGTGCAAATAAACAAGCCATGAAATATTGTATCCGAAAGAATAAGTAACAAAATTAAATGTGAGAGAATATTGTATTTTCAAAGAAATTTAAATGAGAAATTTAATTGTGAGTGAAAGTTACTGCGCATTAATTAGTATCCAAATTTGGAGGATTCCTTTGCAGCAATGTAGTACTTGTGCAAGTCACGCATCAATTAATTTGGAGTCTTTTACCTAACTATCCTTTACTCATTATTGTAGTACGTATGACTCCAAATTATATGCTAGCACGTGCAAATCATATGCTGCTTTTAGTTCATATCAATCATTTACGTGCCGCACGATTTAACGAAAGAATGGTCAGATGTCATTCTTTTTTTCTCTCCTGAAGCTCCTTTCTCACAGGAACCAATCCCTATATATATATATATATATATATATATATATGGTTTCTAGTGTGAGATTATTAAAACCATCTTTTTAAAATGATATATATGATTTCTGTTGTGAGGCTATAAGTAACAAGGAGAAGTGAGCTACAGAGTACACTCTTCTTGGTTGAGGTTTACTATTCTATGAACCTTTCTTGTTTCAGAATGTTTATTTAAATTACTTAAACATACTCCAATCACTTCTTATTTAACAAGGAAAAGTGAGCTACAGAGTACTACACCCTTCTTGAATTATTTGTTTAGTGCAGCATATATAAATTACAAAGAGCTCACAGCCAACGAATAATGCAATCATTACATAAGAACATATATTGAATTTTGGTTTAACCAGAGAACATAAGCTGGCTGGTTTTTCCTTGAAATATACTTCGTATGATTAAATTATCACAGGATTAGTTTGGTAGCTGAACACGTAAGTGTGTAGCTTGTTCTTTTCACCAAACCGAATAAGTAGGTTGTGAACACTTGATTTTATTAAATTATTTAGTTTTTTTATTACTAGGTTTGCTAGGTTTCCACCCAAATTACATCTTTTTACATTTTTTTTGTTTATTAGTTTTTACTTGTTTTAAGACTGTTAATGTGTTATGTTCAATTGTTTTTATTGATTTTTATAGGATGTGTACTTCTTTTACTAGTTTTTTTACTCTATTTTGAGATGGTTTTTATTGGATTTTAGTGGGCTTTAAAACTCTTGCAGATTGTTTTCCTTACTGGTTGTTTTCTTACCAATTTGAATTTTATATAAATTGAGCATCGTGTCTTCTTTGACTGTTTTACATAACCATATAGATGGGGGATTCACAAGCTAATTGCAAACGAAAGGATTATAAGACTTGGACTATTGCAGAAAGCAACTTTTTGCTTGAACTTATGGTTGAAGGTGCCAAATTTGGATGGCGTGATATTAATGGTGTTATAAGCAAACACTCGGTAGAGACAAGACTTCTACCTAAGCTTAAGGAAAAACTTGGTTATGAAATAACCTATAATCAGTACCAAAGCAGAGTTAAGTGGTTTAAAAAACAATATTCTAATTACTCTCAACTTATGCGTCATAATTCTGGATTTGGATGGGATTCAATCACAAAGAAATTCACAGCCTCAGAAGAAGTGTGGTCTGATTATTTAAAGGTTAGCTGGTTTTTTCCATTCATATCATTCATAAAACTTCTTAAATGGTTATCACCATCATCACATTTGTGTCATCTTTATGTCAGTCAAATCCATTACATGGAAATCTTAGATCAGATGCATTTCCGGACTATGATGACTTGAGAATTGCAGTAGGAAATGGAACAGCCACAGGATTGGGCTCGATTGGTTTAGGTGAAGCCACAGATGCTACAATATTAGGAGCACAAGAAGATGACATTGATGGCATAGAGGGACTATCTTTTGATCCAGATACCAACACTTTTGTACAAAGTGAAAATATGTCATCACCCCAAAATACCTCCCCATTCTTCTCAAGACATTCAGATCAACCTACAAATGCAGGGAATCCCTCTTCATCAAATAAAGCACATGGAAAGAGGAGTAGGGCTGAATTTGAAAGTAATAATAACGTAAAGGGAGCTAATGGTCAAGATGCAGTTCTAGAGAACTTGTCAAGTGGATCTGGTAAAATTGTTCAAAGCTTTGATAAAATTTGTTATTTAATGGAGAAGAGAGAAGCAAGGGGCAATGATATTTTGGATGCTATGAAAGAGACCCCTGGATTAAGAGACGAGGATTGCTTTAAAGCTCTCGATTTGCTGAATACGAAAGCAAAGCAAGAATTCTTTTTAAGGATGACTCCCGAACAACGCTATCACTGGATCATTAATCTTTAAGCAACTTCATTAGATTCGTCCTCTAGAGATATCTATTAATAAATAGGCCATGGTTGCGTATTTACTTTATGTATTGTTGGAGTGATTTAATTTTATTTGGATTGCAACGTGATAAGGATTATTTGAACTATTTTATGAATTATTTGTTAGAATACTTCTGTTTTAAAATATATCATGGTTCACTTTTTTAATGTTTATGCCTTTTTTCTTCTTTTAGCAATGTGTGAAACAGATATATATGGAGCGGATGAAGATGAGGTTGAGTTTTATGAGACTCTTAAGATATTGCTAATGGCAATAGAAGCAGTAACTTACTTGATATACAATCTCGCTTCAAGAATTAATGAGGAACCTATTCCACGTCCATTGACTCGTCGGCCTGTGACAGCTAATGGGATTAAATATATGGATGAAATAATGGCCGACGACCCTAAAACATTTAGAGATGTATACAGAATGTATCCTAACATTTTTCAAAAATTATGTTGTATCCTAAGAAACAAAACGCTTTTAAGAGATACAAGATATATTTGTGTTGAAGAAATGGTGGCAACATTTTTACTTATTATCGGCCAAAATAACCGCTATAGTCAACCAAGAATGATATTTAAGCGGTCACATTTCACCATTAGCAAAAGCTTCAACAAAGTATTGAAAGCGTTGAATACAATAGCTCCCGAGTTTATGGCCAAACCGGAATCTGTACCACATGTCATTAGAGAGAGTACAAGGTTTTATCCTCATTTCAAGGTGAGTAATGTAAAACTTTAGTGATTATTAAAGATGATTAATTTTTTGGTGTTCTTTCTTTAATTTCCTAATGCACTTCACCAATTTTACATGATTAATGATGATTACTTATTTTTTTGGCATTTTTTCTTTTCCTAATGCTAGGATTGCATCGGAGCAATAGATGGCACTCATATTCCAGCAATCGTAGCTGGACGAGAAGTGAACAGCTATCGAAATCGTCATGGGACTATATCTCAAAATGTATTGGCTGCTTGCAACTTTGATTTGCAATTCATATATGTGCTTAGCGGTTGGGAAGGTTCTGCCCATGATTCAAAAGTGTTAAATGATGCAATTTCAAGACCAAATGGTCTTAAAGTGCCACCAGGTACACTTTAACATGTTTAACCAAATGTTTGTTACTATACCAATTACTTATTGCATTGTATAATAGACTGATTGTGTAATGATTCAATGTCTAGGAAAATATTATTTGGGGGATTGTGGATTTGCAAATCGGTGTCAATTTTTAGCTCCATTTCGAGGTACTCGGTATCATCTAAAGGATTTTGGTGGCCAAGGAAATCATCCTGTCAATGCGGTTGAACTATTCAATCTTCGTCATGCTTCTTTAAGGAATGTGATTGAACGGATATTTGGAATATTCAAGTCACGCTTCACAATCTTCAAAACAGCACCTCCTTTCTCTTATAAAACACAAGCAGAATTAGTTTTGGCATGTGCAGGAGTGCATAATTTTCTTCGGCGTGAATGTCGATCTGACGAATTTCCCCCGGACCCAGAAGAAGACCCACCTAGCAATGATGAAGACAATCTTGAATGGGATAATTTTCTGACACAAGATCAACAGAGGGAAAAGGCCAATGAATGGAGGATGAATCTTGCTAATCAAATGTGGGCGGCTGCAGAAAATTAATAATTTTGATCCATAGTTCAGTAGCACAAGACGTTTGTTCCCATTTTTTGCATTGACGACATTATTTTTTTCTTACTTTTTTAATGCTTATGCTTGACCTCATTCAGAATAGAGAACGTTAGCTATTATATTTATCATTTTTTATGTAGATATTCTTATTTATTATAGTCTGATTTGCTTTGTTAAAGTCTGGTCTGAAATAAGTCCAAGTAAAAGTCTATGGATTTATTAGAATCCATAGAAGTCATTCATTTAAAAGTCCACGGATTTAAAAGTCCACGACTTTAAAGGTTCACGGATTTAAAAGTCATTCATTTAAAAGTCTATGAATTTAAAAGTCCATGAACTTTTTTAAAAATCCACGGATAAAAAAATATCCTCCACAATCCTGATACAATACATCCCCCTTAATATTTTCTGGATGCAGATTACAAGAGAGGAGAGTGGTATTTATAGAGATGCAGTGTCTTTTTCCCAAAACAACATAACCCCTAATTAAATTAGGATGTGTTTCCAAAAATAAATTAAGAAAGGTGTTTCCAAAAATAAATTAAGAAACTGTCTCTAACACCTTACAATCTCCCACCTTGAGACTGTCTTCTTCAAATCCTCCCTTGTTAGCATGGTAGCGCCGGCCTTCAACTTCAAGTACCAAGACCAATTGAAGCTATGCAAAGCTTCAACGTCTCCAAGGTTACCACCTTAGTAAACATGTCTGCTGGATTCTCACTCCCACGGATCTTCACAAGCTCCAATGCCTCTATCTCTAGAAGATGACGGATGTAGTGATACTTCAACCGAATGTGTTTGGTTCTCTTGTGAAAAGCTGAGTTGTTTGCCAAGAAGATAGCACTTTGACTGTCACTGTAAAGAATGCTATTCTTGTACTCCTTCCCAAGTTCCCCAAGTAAATTCTGAAGCCACACCATCTCCTTACTTGCCTCCGTAATGGCCACATATTCTGCCTCTGTAGTAGATAATGCAACAATCTTCTGCAGCTGCGAAAGCCAAGATATTGTTGTCCCACCAAATGTAAAAACATACCCTGTGGTGCTTCTTGATCCATCCGAGTCATTTGATGCCAGATCTGCATCAACATGTCCCAGCAGCTCTACATTCTTTCCATCAAAGCACAAAGCATTAGAAACAGTACCTTTCAAATACCTCATGATCCACTTCACAGCTTCTCAGTGTTCTTTCTCGGGGTCTCCCATGTATCTGCTCACTACTCCCACCGCATGTGCAATGTCTGGCCTCGTGAAAACCATAGCGTACATGATGCTGCCAATTGCCGATGCGTATGGAATCTTCTGCATTTGAGCACGGTCCTCCTTGTTCTTTGGAGAATCTTCCTTGCTAAGCTTGAAGTGACTACCCAATGGAACACTTGCAGCCTTAGCATCTTGCATTCTGAATCTTTCCAAGACCTTCTGAATGTATTCTACCTGTGAAAGAAACAATCTGCCCGCTGCCTCATCCCTCTCGATTCGCATGCCCAAAATCTGCTTTGCCTCTCCAAGATCCTTCATGGAAAAACGTTCTGACAACTGTTTCTTTAGCTTCTCAATCTCCTTTGAACTAGCTCATGCAATCAACATGTCATCTACATATAATAGCAAGATAAGATAACAGTTCTCAGTCTTCTTGTAGTAGCAGCAATTGTCGGTGTGACATCTCAAGAAACTGATTTCCCGCATGAAACCATCAAATTTCTTGTACCACTGCTTCGGTGCCTGCTTCAACCTGTATAAGCTTTTCACTAGCTTACATACGAGATTCTCACTGCCTTCCGCCACATAGCCCTCCGGTTGCACCATGTAAATCTCATCATTCAGATCACCATGAAGGAATGCAGTCTTCACATCCATCTGATGTAACAACAAACTCTCTTCAGCTACTAACCCCAACACTAACCGAATAGTAGTAAGTTCACAACTAGAGAGAATATGTCGGTGTAATCAATACCATACCGATGCTCGAATCCCTTCACAATCAGCCTAGCTTTGTAGCGTTTGCTACCATCTGCCTCCTTCTTGATGCAGTAGACCCACTTGCGGTGCAAAACCTTCTTTCCTCTTGGTAGCTCAACTAACCTCCAAGTATCATTGGATGTGAGAGATGCCATATCATCATCCATTGCTAGTTTCCACTTGCCCTTGTCATCAACCCGAACTGCCTCTGCATAGGACTCCGGTTCACCAACATCAGTAAGCAACAAATAGAAATTAGAAGGTGAATACCTATTTGGTGCTCTCCGGTTTCTGGCAGGCCGCTGCCTTGGCGGGGTTGATGGATCCTCATCACTGCTCAACTCTTCATTCTGATCCTGCTTGCTCCCACCCGAATTAGAGATATCCTGAGCTCTATGATCTTCGGACTTTCTTGCTCAGAATCAGATGCGCTCAATCTGTCCTTGTACAGAACCTGCTCGTTGAACACCACATCTCGACTACAAATAATCTTCTTATTCTGCTCATCCCAGAATCTGTATCCATAGTCATCACCACCATATCCAACGAACGTACACTTCACAGATTTTGCTTCGGTCAACGGAACTGATATGAACACAAGCAACACAACCAAATATGCGGAGATAGGACAGATTTACCTCTTTACCCGTCCACCTTTCTTCAGGAATGCCATTCTCCAACGAGATCGTTGGACTTTTGTTGATGAGAAAAGCTGCGGTGTTCACTGCATCCGCCCAAAACATCTTCGGTAAGCCACTCTTCAACCTCATGCATCTAGCCCGCTCATTCAGTGTTCTATTCATGCGTTCAGCAACGCCATTATGCTGCGGAGTCCCCTTTGTTGTCTTCTCCATACGAACCCCATTCTCAGCACAAAAATTTTTGAACTCATGCAGTTCATACTCACCCCCATTATCTGACCGAATGCACTTCAACTTCAGACCTGACCCTGTCTCAACACGAGTTTTCCACCTCCTGAAAGCATCAAAGGCATCAGATTTATTTTTGAGAAAATAAACCCACACCTTTCTTGTGGCATCATCAATAAAG